TGAATCCAAAACTCAATCAGTTCCCCATTCATTTTCCCCCTTTATGTGTTTTAGCCATGGACTTGGGTCTGGTAGTGTCCTAATCACTGTCCAGACCCTGGTCTGACCTTCAAAGGTCTGCTCCTAATTTGTTTAATCAAACAGGTGGTCTGGGGTGTGCTAGCCTACCTTGTGGCTAGGCATGACCACCACCAGTCACGGCTCCCCAATCCCCTTTTTCACTTTGCACTTACGCTTAGCTATTAAGTTCTGCCCCTCTCTTGCAAGCCATGCTTTGGGACCCCTGAGTTCCCTCTGAACTTGGATGCCTGAGGGCTGGCACTTCCACACTGTACTATTATGTTACTAAATGGTTATTCAGAGTGTAAGTATTGCCTGGAGTTCTTGAGGCTCCTTGGAACTTTGAAACACTCTAAGTAAGAGAAGGCCTCGGAATCTGGAATCCGGATTTGGTGAAAGATATGTTATTGGGTATTAAGATTGAATTAGGCTGCTCGGATCTAGCTGTAGGCTGTGATGTATTTCTGTTTACTTTCTTTCTTCTGGTCCTGTAATAATCTTGTAAAAAGAACTCGGGGAATATTAGTAAAGGGTGTGGGAGGGGTTCATATTGCTTGCATGAGTTAAAGGGTAGAAATCATGCCTATAGGATTTAATACTTTAAATCACCTAGAAATCATGCCTATAGGATTTAATACTTTGAAACGCTAGATATCATGTCTATAGACTTTTAACGTTTGAATCACCTAGAAACCATGTCTATAGGATTTGCATCTTTTCACTCAATCATCCAGAAATCATGCCTATAAGAAATGCATTCTTTTCATTCAAGCATATAAAAATCATGCCTATAGGAAATGCATAAACGCTAGGCAAACTGTAGGATCAAATACTCATCCTCCTTAATGTTTTAAAAGAATAACAATCAATAAAANTAGTAGAAATCCTACCTATAGGACCTAATAATCGAATAACCCGTTGCACGTAGAAATCATGCCTATAGGAAATGCATGAAAACGTTAGGCAAATTGTAGGGTAATCAAATACTCATTTTTTCTTAATGGCTTAATAACAGGTATAGATATCCTGCCTACAGGGTTCAAACTTGTCTAATCTGTATAAGCAATAATCTAGAAATTGGATTCAGCGTTTTCAACAAACTTGTACTAATATGTTTATTGCCAGAACTCTTACAAGTCTGCAAAATTCTCGATTTCTTTTTTAACTTGCATCTCTCTTTGCTAAAACGGTTTTCAATCTTCTGCTTAAATTTTCATCTTAGGAAGCTGTTATATTCAAAACAGTATTCAGTTTGTTCTTACTTTTAAAGTCGCTATACTTTTGAAACTCATTTTCATAACTCTACTGTATTTCAAATCTGCTGATTTCAAAGTCAATTCCGAATTTTTGCAATCTCAACTATCTGTTTTAATCCTTTCTGCATTAGGCTTTTTCTGAAATCGGTACTTTCTAAATAATTCATTTAAAGTACTTCAATTCCTGACAATTGGATCTGAGTTGCCTAATGCAGACCTTTTATCTAATTCTATGTGTTAAACTGATCCGTCCGCCGTTTAAGTTTTAATTAAAGACCAAACCAGTATATGCAAGACATGATAAACTAATTGCTATGTGATTTACGGGGTTTTATGTGAGCATTGCATATTTATTTTATGCCCCGCTTATTTGTTATTTGTTTTGACTGACGTCCTAGTATTTTATCCTTTTAAGCTCCATATATGCCTCCATCCCTTTCCTCCCTTTAGGATTAGAAGTCAAAATGCCCCGGGACTGATAGGTTGGGACGGGTACTAGCATGCAATAAGTAAAACGAAACTAATCGCGTTTAATACCCTAACGGGGAGGGAAGGGTAGAATATGGAGATGATGACGGTGCGCTAATATCTCGTGCGAGAATGATTGCTGGGTATTGCACCAAACTGATTCATATTATATTTAAACCTAGGACCCCTTTTCTCCTTCTTTAGTTATCAATGTTTTCTTAACTTAGTGTTTTCTTCAACTAAGATTTTCTCTTTTCAAAATCACTTGTGTCTTTCTTCTTTCAACATTTTTCAACTTGTTTACACTTCATATGTGCAAATTTTTCTTGTTTATTCATATTCTTAAAGTCATAACTAACCACGGCCGGGAACCACACTAGTGGATCTTGAGGGATGCCTAACACCTTCCCATCGAGATAATCTCAAGCCCTTACCCGAACTCTGGTTTATCTTTCAAGAAATCCTTTTTTTTTAAGTGTCCTAATGCACTATAATCATTAGGTGGCGACTCTTCAAATTCCATATCCCGATTCCTCGAAAGGGGAATAAGAGTTATTTTGCCCATAATGTCGTAAACCCGATTTCGCCTTCTTTCAGGAGGGAAAAAGGGGGCGTCGACAACAACAACATCAATCACCAATTTAACATAGGATTCAAGCCTAAGAACTCTTAAATTATGTTTTCGATCAAAAGGTCTATCAAATCTCGTCCGAATGACCTAAAATTTTGCGCACGCATCCCAATTGACACAACGAAGCTACTGCCACTCTCGGAATTCCATTCCGGCCCCTATATCAAAATCTCGCCTATCAACCGGAACCGCCAAAATATCAACTTCGCCAATTTAAGCCTAAATCTTCTCTACAACTCCAAAACTCATTCCGATCGCGCTTCTAAGTCACAAATCACCTCCCGAAGCCGAACCATCAGAACTCACTTCTGAGCCTTCTAACACATAAGTCAACATCCGGTTGACTTTTCCAACTTAAGCCTTCTTAAAAGAGACTAAGTGTCTCAAACTTCACCAAACCCATTTCGGACTCGATCCGACCAACCCGATACCACAAAAACACGGATAGCGAAGCACAAAGAAGCTGAAATGGGAGAAATGGAGTGGTAACTCATGAGACGATTGGCCGGATCGTCACAGTACTCTAGAGTTGGGACTGCGTGTGTTGTAATGGTTACTCATGTATTCCGTGTTCCTCCACTATTTTTTTTAAGCTTAGTAAATTTTATTACAGAGTGCAGCTTGATTCTGTTTGTTCCCATGACTATGTGTGAGCACCTAATTTTTGCCCTACATGAAAATAACTCCTAAAAATAGGCCAAAAATAATTTTAATTGATTTTTAGGAGTTTTTCTTTATTTAGTTGCATTTCATGCATGTCAAATATTTTTAAAATCATAGAAAAATTATAAAATTTGTCACGTTTTAATTTTGTACCATCTTAGGTTCAATTTGCATGTAGGAATTAATTTTATTAAGCAAAAAATCACAAAAATGGTCATTTTGACATATTTAGATTTTAATGTTTTTACATTACCTATGTGAATGTAAGCAATGGTGACGTGTTAGAGTGGGACCAAATGGTTTATGTTATGGATGTTTGATCTTGGAACTATTGCTTTCACCAAAATGTACAACGTAAATATAGAGCCTTCTAATATAAGCATATAACATCATTATGTAATTTGAGAGTGTATTAACGGATCTGAATGCAAAATGCAGTTCACCATGTAAATTTGAAGGGAATAACAACCATACTTCATCAAGACACGGGGAAGCTTTTTTTACCAACTGAATTGTCTGAGAAGAGATACAAATTCTGGTAATATTACCAATTAATTGTAGATGATATATAGGAATTTATTGTTTGGTGATGTTTAATTTTCATGCTGTAAAATCATTTGGTTGGTAGCTTGCGTGGCCTTATATGAGTTAAATGATGCAGGTGAAATAACACAACTGGCTATGATTTGGTGTATTAATTCTTTCTCCGTTCTTGCCGGCTATGGAACTCAAAATATTTCTGTTAAACTAACTGAAAACTTAGAGAAAAGTTATGTCTCGGTAGATCCTATTTTCTACAGAGCTCTTCTTCTTTTAAGAAAAGCTTATGACCATGTATTTTTTCTTATTACCCAAGAAATTGAAAATAAGAACATTTAGCGAAAGAATGTAGTTACCTTTTGCTTTACAGTAGTTGAGTTTCCCTTACTTTCATTCCAATCATTTGTCACTATACTGATATTTGTGATGTTAGTCTTTTCAGGTTGGAGATTCTCATATGGGTAAAGCTGAGTAATTAAGAGGCATAGTGTTTACGGATCCATAGAACCACATTATGAAGGGGTTCCACAGGACACTCCTATCTAGAATATACTTATGCAATAATGAGTATCCTCTATAAAAATTCTTTGATATGGTCTACACATGTGGAATTCTTTCTTCAGTGTAAACTCTGTACTCGTGTTAATCTAAGGATTGTTTGTCTTTAAATATGGTTTAAATGGTTCCTCTTGAATTCTATATTATTCAAAATGATAAAAGATGACAAATGAGTGATCCAACTTGACAGTTGCAATATACACCAAAACTTTCTTGCTCTCCGTTTTTCGGGTTGTATACAAATTAAAGATTAGATTTTCACTTTAAAAAAATCTCATAAATGAACATAATTTTAGGCTCAGAAACACGAATGTGCAAGGGAATCTCCTTTTTGTTACATAGATTTGTATATAGGAGTAGTATATTCAAGCAATATGGTGAGCACCTTTTGGCTTCACTTGTTTTCCAGCAAAGACAGATATATTTGATAAACTGGTCTATAGCTTACAGGGATTTCTTAGTCTTTTTGTTGCAAAGCCTACTACCGATAGTCTTGAGAAAGGCTTACATTAGTTGGCACTACACACTATCATTCAAAGACAACTGAAGACATAAGATTTGCTTATTTTTCCCCATGTATTGTCTAAATGTAATGTGTATGCACTAGCATGGCTTTTAAGCAGTTCTCTTGAAATATGTCACACGCTTCGCCAATTCGGGAGTCAAAGAGATGAATACAAGATTAGAAAACATGTGCCGAAGAATTTGGAATTGGACTCGCAAGAAGAAACAGGTCCCTAGAAATACATATCCATGATTGTATTTTAAGTTCGCTTTGTAGTTTCAGTTTGCTCGAATTGTTTTTTACGAGGAGAAAGTGGAGATTTAACAGAAATTTAAGAATGTACCACATGTTATTCTATTTTAATCAAAACTCAAAAAGTATTACTTATCCACTTTGAACTCGGGCCCGGGCTCAGCACGGGCTAGCTCTTAACTAGTTTATACATAGATACATGTTTCCACTACTTGCAGTGCACGGTGTTCATGTTTCTCCACACCTAAGCCTCCCAACGTGAAATCTCATTCCAAAATGAACAATGTTTAATCAGAGGAGTAGAAAAGAGCAGTCCGGTGCACAAAGCATCCCGCGTTCACACAGGGTCCGGAAAAGGGCCGCATCCCAAAGGGGTGTGATGTAGGCAGCCTACCCTGATGCAAGCATTAGTGGCCGATTCCACGGCTCGAGACGAGTGGACTGAGCACCAAAATGAATTGATTTCCACAAGTTCACAAGACTAGCAGTTACATTGCGTATGTCGAAATGTTAACATCTTCCTCGGGTGATAAAATGGATTCCAATTCCATCTCATGCTGAGGCAATAACAATGAGCATGCTGATGCCAAGGTGGTTGCTGGTACTGTTTGTTGAAAATGCCTCAAAAGATTAATCATGCATTTTTTAGTTTCGTCTGCAGCAAGATTCTCTCCAGCACATAAAACCTTACATAAAAGAACCAACTTTCAATTACTTTATGGCTACATCAGCATAAAAGATCGTCAGATGCAAATATCAAAGTACAATAAGACAGTCATAAAATTAGATTAATCAACTACAGTCAAACTTCTTTATAACAACCTCGTTTGTTCCAATATTTTTTGGCTGCTACAATTAAGTGTTGTTATAGAGAACATATTATATAATAACATAACATGAGATATTGGTTCCAAAGAAAACGTGGCAGTTATGATGAAGTTCTGTTATAAAGGATGGTTGTTATAGAGAGGTCTCGCTGTACATAAACTAAAGGAAAACAAACAAAAATGAAATGTCAAATTAACCCTCCAAATAGACAGATGGAGAGCTAATTGTCAACTGACTAACACTCAAATCTCTTGCATAAATGATGACTCATTCTAACATCTGCTACTTGAAATTTTGAACTAACCTCTACAAAAACTGAAATAACCTTTGGAAGGTGCTGATAGTTGGGACCCAAAAGTTTTCCGTCTGATCTGTAAGTCAGAAGATTTTGTTAAACATTAAAGATTAAAATACATTAGTGCGCGAGATTACATTTTAGAGTCTGCAAACATTGGTTAATTTTGTTAATTGAAGAACCAAAAAATCCCAGTAACAATCACCATGAAAGATAATTTTGTTAAGTAAAAGGAATATATCAATTGCTAAAGCAACATTTTGTATGAATGTGTTAGGAAAGTATAGGAAATTATAAATTTAATATCAAGAAAAATAATATATAATTGTGTAAATTTCAGGAATTTGATTGAAGATTACTTGGACAAAGGTTTGTTCCGGATAGCAGACCGACCAATAGGAATCAAGACATCACCGTTTGCGCTTCGTATTTTATTTCTCAGCCTTTTGATACTCAGAATTTTAAAATGATTTTTAGACTTGGTTAACATGGTTTTTACCTCATTCATTGAATTTAGTTGTAGTTCTTTCAATTTCTTTGTAGGATGATGGTGGTTGATGTAACATAAGGAAAATTTCAAAAAAAAGTAAAACAAAATAGGTGACAAGAAAACTAATTTAATACCTTTCAACCATTGAACAGAGCTGTTTGTGAACTACTTTGGCTTTAACCGTGTCCTCTTTTATGGGCAGACAATTCAACCAAGACGGAATAATCTACCAAAAAACTTCAAATAAGAATTTTTTTTAACAATCTTATGAAGTATATTGGAGGAGCATCAATCCATGTTTTCAGTCCATTTCACCTAAAACGAGGATAAGTACTGATAATATATGTATTATTTGATACAGCCAGAAATTTAAGAATTAAATTAGAAAGCCTAAAGAATAAATGAAGGAATTGTCTAAGGCAGTCTTGAACTTCATGAGCTAGCGTTTGCAATTGTATCGAGCTGGTATATTGACTTTCATTTAAAAGCTAAAGACTTTTGATCAAAAGATTATAGGGCACCCGGTGCACTACGCTCCCGCTATGCGCGAGATCCGGGGAAGGGCCGGACCACAAGGGTCTATTTTACGCCGCCTTACCCTATATTTCTACAAGAGGCTGTTTCCATGGCTCGAACCCGTGACTTCCTGGTCACACGATAGCAACTTTACCAGTTACGACAAGGCTCCTGGTCAAAAGATTATAGCGAGTTCAAAACTACTGATGCATGAAATGAAGGTAGCAGTGAAGTGCTCAAAATCTAAACCTGATAATTTAGAATAACTATAGTATATACAAACTGAAGATAGATATAATACATGAACAAGAAAACATCCCGGATTCCCCAAAAAAACATACCTGTGCTGAGTCGATACTTTCCTGATGAAATTGACATATCTTACCAAGCGCAAAAGCAGCATTATAATATGCACTTAAATTCTCAGGCTCACGATCGTGTAGATGTGTTATCACTACATTGATTCTCGAAAGAGCCTCTGAAACACACCATGAGATTTAGTAAGTAGTAAATACAAAAATATATCACTCTTCGTCCATTTCCCCCTGATGAGAAGGATCTCAATATCAGATTCAACAGTATCTTACCTCCAACAAAAGGTTTGAAAACAGAACCACCATGTTCCGCACACAACCCAAGTCCATAAAGCGCATTCTGAACATGACGTTAATGGTGTTTGGATGAATCAAAAAGAAAATGTAACACAACTGAAAACTGACCCGTCTACCAAGATAGGCAAACCTGTCTAACAACTGGCTTTTCGTCGTCACTTGAGTTCAAAAGAAAAGGAAGATATATATTATAGTACCTAGTTTGGAAAGAAAGTGACTATCAGAATTATGATCTTGAAAGGGCAACCCGGTGCACTAAGCTTCGGCTATGCGCGGGTCCAGGGAAGGGCCGAACCACAAGGTTCTATTGTACGCAGCCTTACCCTGCATTTCTGCAAGAGGAGAGGCTGTTTCTACGACTTCCTCCTGGACACATGGCAACAACTTTACCAGTTACGCCAAGACTCCCCTTCATCAGACTTATGATCTTATTTAAGAAAAACATAGATATAGACCTACTTTAGAGCTGCTTCACCGCAATACACCACAAGTATGTCAAAAACATGAAAACACATACTTCTCTCTGCAGCTGTTTTATCCTTTCCCTTCAAGCAGGGGAAAAAACACAATGAGAAATATAAATGAAAAACAACCTAGGGGTTAGAATGACATTGGTTATAGTGACCTGAAACTTACCATCATAGGCAATAGATATAATGAAAGCTCATCGAAAAAAGGCAAGAAAGCAGCCTTGAATGTGTGGATCAGTGTAATCAATATGTTACCAACCTGATAAAACAAGTATAAGTGAGTCAAGAATAAATTAAAGTGAAAGGCTTGTATAAAGATAATATGGTGTCGTGAGTTGTATATGAACTTAATTCTCTAATAAAACATACATTTATGCAAACTTCATCTTCTAGCTCTCTTACAGCCCTCAGCAATTCAGCCTCCTCAGCATCAAAGTCTTCTGATTTTGCTCTCTTTGTGAGTTCTCCATTTCTGCGTGAACTTTCCATAAGAACGTGCTTTATCTCATCGATGATGCTATGAACCTGATCTTCATTGAGAAGTGATCCACAGATCTGAAAGAAGTTACCAAAAGTACCATAATAGTGAAAACTGAAGTTCAAACTCATTTAATTTCTACAGCTAGTGCTGCTTCTTGCTTTTTCAGTAAGCATGAAGCATGTCATTAGTTGGCTTAACAGTGATTTACTGAAAATAAGTTTCATTATGGAGACAATCTACCACATAGTTAATAATCTGTTTTCTGTCTTGCTGAAAATAAGTTTCATTATGGAGACAATCTACCACATAGTTAATAATCTGTTTTCTGTCTTGCTGAAAATAAGTTTCATTATGGAGTCAATCTACTACATAGTTAATAATCTGTTTAATGTCTTGCCTATTCATGTCAAGGGAAATTTCGTAATTATGGGATTTATGGTAGGAAAGGGAGCCTTGGAGCAACGGTAAAATTGTCTTTGTGTGACCTGTTCGACCTGTGGAAGTAGCCACTAATGCTTGCATTAGGATAGGCGGTCTACATCACACCCCTTGGGGTGCCGCCCTTTTCCGGACCCTGCGTGAATGCAGGATGCTTTGTTCACCGGGCTGCCCTTTATGGGATTTGAGGGACGAGCTTGGAAAAGTGTCTCGCTCATCATAATGGACATGAGAAACTCAAAAGCATCACACCACCATCATAGGAAAAAAGTTGCATACTTGGATCAAAGTAAAGAAATCATCTTAACATGACGTACCAATAGGCATTCATTCAATCCCCATAATATATTTGCACTTATTTTTGCCTCAGACTCCTGCATGAGATAGCAATCATCAAAGTGTCACTTTCTCATTATTCAGATAAATGGAGGTCAATCCTTTTCCCCAAATAAAAAAAACCAGAAGCATATGTTGAAGGCAACCGAGTATAAAGCGTTCCCCAAAGCCAGTATTATATCGCCAGACAACTGCTTGAAGTATGACTGGTTTCCACCTTGAGCAATCCCTTTCTCTACCGCCAGTTCAGCAGAAGGCAACAGGGATGACAATGCTTAACCACCACAAATTATAACATCTCATCAGAAGTTGAAGTAGTTAAAATAAAAATGAAGAAAACCATATGAAATCGAGCATTTTTTACCATAATTAGCATAGTTCCTGACATCATCGTCCATATAGAATTTAAGAAGCGGAGCTAAAACTGAAGCAGCCTGTTTCATGATTTAAGCCATAAGTATCACCTGTTGCAAATCCACTTAACAGCACACGAAAAAGTAAATGTGCAAGTGATAATTATTTATTCATGCTAACCTGGGAAATCCATGGGTAGAATTCTTCCTTCAAATTATGAGCATATCTACCAAGGAGACCACAGGCTATAGATTTCACCTCTAGGAGGTCACTTCCTTTGATGCATATCATTTCCTTCCCGAACTTGACTTTGTGTATACTGCAAAATGTGAAACTCAAGTTGATCCTAGGTAGCCCCAATAACCACATTTCCCTAGTAGTCTTAGTACTGATGAGTAAGGCAAAAGAAATAACAAGAAATCCTATGAACTTCAAAAATAAAGACAAAGCCAACCCTCAATCATAAAAGCTTACCTATCATATAATTTATCAGTCGATACAGTCTTATCGGGCTCAAATTGAGCACACTCAACCAAAGAGGGCATGACTGTACTCATGTAAGGAAGAAAATCCTTCCCTATGCACTGGCAAATTCTGTTGGATGCCTGCGATGAAATCAAGAAACGCTGAGAGGCCAATATAAAAAGTTCTAAGCTCGTAAAATCAAAGGATTAACACATACCTGTAGAATGTAAACAATAGTATCAGCCTCTCTCACTTGTGATTTTTGAAATGACTTGAGCACTTCCATAACCTTTAATGACACCAAAAACAGAATTTAAAAAGTTGATGTTGAGAAATGAAAGAACGGGTAAGATCACACAACCACGTTGCCAAGAGAAGAACGAGAGTGTCAAAAGAGAGGCAGAATGTAGGACAAAAGAGGAACTAGGAGGAGAAGTTATATATGAGTCATTAGTCGTTGCTCCCAAGTGCTGAAGACAATGTAATCCATCTGCAATGGCACTACTGAAAGATACTTGCTCATGATGATGTTTACACCAAATCTATGAATATATGAGATGTGTCATTGACGCTTTATCACTTAATTGTGGTTAATTAACTTGTATTTTCACCTCAAGTTATCATTAACCATTGATAAATTATGATTGTATGGTATAAACACCGGGTGTATATAAGTTTTTCCAATAACATGAATATATGTCTTGCGCATCACACACACAAGCAAAAAGATGTAATGGGCATAGTTGGGAGATGACCTGCTCTAAGTCATCTCTGAATTTCTCTTTGCCTACAGCCAATGCAACCAGGCTTATGCACTCGAAGGCTCTGACTTGAAGCTTGTGATTAGATTTATCATTTGCATTTGCCCGGATAGTTTTCAAATATGGCATTACAAAATCATAGTACGCTTGGAATTGCTCCTGTTGAAGTATATATATGATATTTTAGCCATCAATATCCATAACATAAGCAGATACTGAACTGAGTCAAAAATGAATGCAAGTAGGTAATACCTTAGATAAATCAGCAATACCAGACAATGCCTTTAATGCTGCTCTTTGAACCATTTCGTTGTCGTTCTGCATTCCAAACAACAGCAATGAGTAGGAAAATACACCATCAATCTCTTAAACTTGTTAGCAGTAATCTGCCTTTTGTAACAAGGTGGCCTCTAAATTTGCATACCTGTAGAAGTACAAGCTGTTTGTTGAGTATTCTATCTAAGTAGGGTACCAAAGTTTCTGGCTTGTCAGATTTACAGAAATCCGAGACAGCTAAAGCTGCATGTGCCTATGAAAATGCCATAGAAAGTATCATGAAATAAATGAAGTCAGTAATGACAGATCTATACACAATCTTTACGCTGTGAATTCGTCAAACTCTATTAAAGGTCACTTCAGATACCTCCCCTAACATATCTCTGTGTAGTAATCATTCTCTCTTGTGTCATATTTACAGTCATTTAAGGTGAGACTTTTTTTTTTGGGATAAGGATTTAAGGTGAGACTTTATTTACACCAAAATATAGTCATAAGCTTAAATTTGAGGCAGTGCGCAATTAAGGCTCCATAAGTAAGGCCAAAGACTCTTGTCAATAAAACATACTAGAATATGTAAAGTTAATTAAAAAAATTCTCTGAATATAACAACAACAAATTTTTAAGATTAAAAAGATTAAACCTATACAAACTTATAGATCATCAAGTTTATGGAATATGTAACACCATTGTAAAGGTGCAGCAAGTTAGATACTTTTGCTGGTTGTTTCCTGCAAGAATAATATACTCTATTTTTTTATAGCTACAATTGTATTTTGGGAAGTCCAATGATCATAAAGGGTTCATATCACCATAGGTCAGACCTGCACTCGAGGATGTTGAAAATCATCCATAGCTGCAGCTAATGCAGGCAATACAAAGTTATGGTATTGTACTTGCAAATGTGGAGAGAAGTCAATTGAGAACTGCGCAACTGCATTAATAGCAGCCCATCTGACTCGAGGATGAGGATCTTGGAAAGCATGCAGAACCATATTCATTATTTGCTCCAAATACTTCATCATCACCTACAAACAGAGAAACCATGGGCTCAAGATAATAGACGAAGAAAACTAAATTAGAACGAATAGGGGCTAGTGGCAAACAATCTTATCTATCCCAGCAGTTTGCTAGCGAAAAAACACCTCTCAAATGCTACAAAATCATCGCAATATAATCACGAATGAGACATCAGATTTGTACCTTTGAGCTTCCTTCAGCTATCTGAGAAAGTGCAATGAGAGCTGCGTGCCGTTTCTCCCACTCAGGGACTATCAAATAAGCATCCAGCTGCTCTAGTGCAATAGGAGCTATAGTCTTGCCACCTAATGCTTTAGAAAACCGGCTTAAACACTCCCGACCATAAATGTAGTTATCAGTAACCCCTGCCTGGTCATTCCAGATCTCCGAACTATGCCAGCTAGGTTTGTCCTTAATATCCCGTAACAAATTCAACAACACTGCAAAACAAGTGGTAGTAAACAAAGGCAGCTTCTTCATCATACCAGGGGCCTTCTCCCTAGCCTCAACCAAAGCTAATACGAACTCAATTGCCAAGTGCCTTGTCGTTTCTTCCAAACTCTTATCCTCTGCTATGTCAAACATGGTACCCACCACATCCACTAGCTGCCTCCTCAAGAACCTAGGTTCATTCTTCGCCAACTTTATAAGAAATAACAGCACCTGCTCTGCTGCATCCTCCCTCCTCTTGTTGTTCAATGTGTCAGTCAAAGCTCTCATCATACCTGGCAATAGTTCTTGAAACCGCTCTTTTTCATTTGAACTCGGTATGCTCTGAATGAAGGTGATCACAGCTCTTGCGGCAGTGATCCTCACTTGGAGGTGGAGGGTATCATCATTCAGTGTATTAAGGAATAGCTTGTGCAAATCTTTTATGCAAGGTGCTGTTGTTTCGCCTATGTCCTTAGATAGAATCGCAAATATTATGCAAGCTGCCCCTTTTAGGTACGGGTCTAAACTGGAATTAGTGACACGTTGGTACAGGGGTGGCAATAGTTCAGGCCAGGTTTTATCTGCGCGAACTGAATCAATAAGCGTCCAAACAGTTATAAGGAGCTCTTGAATGATGAATCCTGGTTCTTCAACGGAGAAACGATCAACGATCATAGATTTGATGGTCGATTGAGTGGAGACACTAAGATTATGCCAAGTGCACAAGTCATTATCATTAAGCAACTTGCGAAGGAGTCCAGCACACCTTTCACGGTAATAAATGTCGTGGGAAGGGCCAAGATAGTCAACAAGCTTAAGAGCAATGGACTCTGGATCCTTTTGCTTCATCATGTTGAACATCCACTCAGCCTTGGATCGTTTCTCCTTGGAGTTGGACCAATGATCGGAAATAAAGGTTTGAAATGGCTGTGAATCAGGCCCCAGAATCGCCTCCATCTGGAACGGAATCAGTTCGCTATCCATTACTGTATAGTATATTTTGAAAAGGGAGAGAGAGGAGGACACTACTATGGGGTTCTGAGAAATGTACCATTGACTTACTTCCCTAAGAAAAACTTTTTTTGTGATAGTCTTACAAGACTTTTAAGAGATTAGAAATGTGATCACGAGACATTATCTCCCATGAATATTAAATATACGAAAATCACAGCTAACAAAAAATATACAAAAATACAACTTGATGGCTCAAAGGTCAATATCACAATATACTATTGAAGTCCATGGTTCATATCATTAGATTAAAGCTTGTCTTATGAATGATTTTGTTTCTAATTTGCAAAGATGAGATTAGAAAGTTTACTGCCCCTAAAAGTCAAACAATGCCAATATGTTGCTTGTTGGTAAATTGGTAAGTCGAACATGAATATAAATTGTTTAGACTACTTAATTATTCACACATTCATTGAATGATGAAGCTAGGCAACAATTAGGTATATTTTAGTAAAGTTATAAGAGAATCATACACAATACTTCTCCTCAAATCTCAAGGCGTGAATGATGAAGCTAGGCAACATTAAGAGTACTTTTTAATAAAACGAAATTTATATTAATTTCAGAATTTTTTTTAAGAGATTTAAAATCTGAATGAAACATTGTCGCGCATCCTGAATATTGAATATTAGGAAGTCACAGCATAAAAAAAATATTAAATAATGTAACTTGATGGCTTCAAGGTCTATAATATAATAGTAATGGTTTCAATATTCATACTATATGTCAGAGTCAAATGGTAGATACCTAATTTTCAGGAACTCCTTCAAAAATGGTGCAATGCTCTCTCCAACTCAGGCGCTGACATTGGTACCAATTGAAACCTTATAATCAAGCTAGTAGCCTTCACTTTGGTGTTAATCTTAGAAGACTTTTCCTACGAGTCATGATTTAGCACCAAATATTAAACCTAAGAGGAAATTGTCTTATAGCTTGTGAGTCGTCTCTATCTAGATTTCTCAAACAATACAGTAATGGATACCTATTTGATTCAGTTCCAAAATGCCCAGTTGAAAGCGATTCTGAGGCCTGGTTCTAGGGCTCCGTTTTGAAACCTTCATTTCCGATCACATGTCCAGCTCCGATAAAATAAATTCCGCTGAGTCAATGTCAACTTGATTGTTATATCATCCCAAAAGTTTCTTAAATATATATTTTTATTTCTAATAACTTTTTTTTTTTTGGTGATTTATATTTAGATTTTATTATTCTAGAAATTCAAATGAAAAAAGATTCAAAGTACAATTTGACCTGACTTTAAAATACTTTATCTATTGAATGATTCCAATAAGTATTTTTTATTCTTATTGGAATTAATTAAAAAGAGATGTCCCAAAATGAAAAGAATGTAATAGAGTGGAGTTTGTTTGTGGATATTTGATTTTTCTTAATAGGTGTTAGGGTAGAAAGTACAATGCAGTTTAGTGAGATCTTTTTCTTTTTTTGAGTCTCTGTATTTTGGTCGGTGCTTTTAAGTATTCTGGAAAAACGGATTTTCTATCATCTCTTTTTTCCTTTTTATTTAATTGGTCCATGAATATCGATTTGATCCAAGCTTTTGAAATTGAAATAAATTCGGTAACGGATTGCGAAATCTTGGACATGATCTTCTCTATCTAATGAATGGGTAAGAGATCGAATCTCCTATTGTTCCCAAGTAGCTCAGTGGTAAAGCGCCGGTTGTTAATCGATCGGTCGTATTATATACTGTCACGACCCGGTTTTCCACCCCTCGGGAATCGTGATGGCGACTACTCGTGAAAGCTAGGCAAGCCGAGTGTTACAAATTTTATTACCATTTTTCCTTAACCTTTTAACAATTCCAAATTAACATGTGATCAACAGCGAAATAACCATAATAATAAAAGAAATGCGAAAGACGAAATCTGATAATTTAACTAAATACTATTACAAAATCCGACATACAACTCTACCCAGAATTGGTGTCACAATGTCACGGACCATCTACAAACAGTGGTCTGAATGAAAAATACAAGTTTGTCTCTGAAATACATAAAAACAGAATGGAAAAGATAGAAGGGGACGCCAAGGCCTGCGGACGTCTGCAGGACTAGCTCGGGTCTCCGCTGGACTAAAGGCAGCAACTTCATTGTAGTCCAAATGCTCCAGCACCAGGATCTACACACAGTATAGAGTGTAGTATCAGCACAACCGACCCCATGTGCTGGTAAGTGTCGAGCCTAACCTCGACGAAGTAGTGACGAGGCTAGGACAAGACTACCAAGTAAGCATGTGTAGTTAAATCATGTACAACAAATAATAGTAACAGAAACTAGCAGTTAAAGATGGGAAAGGGGAACATGCTGCGGGGAATAACAAGTACTAACAGAATCTCAGTAGAGAAACATAAGGAACACCAAAATTTCATATCAGCAAGAATAAGGAAATCAATAACAAATACACGGCATCACCCTTCGTGATTTTACTCTCCTTCTCACCATAAAAATCAATAGATTCGGCACGGCATCACCCTTCGTGCTTTTACCTCACATAATCATGGCACGACATTATCCTTCGTGCATTTTAACTCATATCATGGCACGGCATCACCCTTCGTTCTTTTACATTCATAATATCGGCACGGCATCACCCTTCGTGCATTAACACTCGCTCACAACTATCACGCACGGCATCACCCTTCGTGCATTAACACTCGCTCACAAATATCACGCACGGCATCACCCTTCGTGCTTTCCATTCTTCCTTACCCAAGCAACAATCACAAAGCAATTCGGGCAAGGGAATCATAAAATCACAATAGAATTTCGTCAAGGGAACAATAGTATATCAATAATATCTTGGCAAGGGAAATAATATCATAAGCAATAACATCCCGGCAAGGGAAACAATATCATAAGCAATAACATCCCGGCAAGGGAATCAACAATATATCTCATCCCGATTCCACAATCGCTTCACAACATAAATCTCAACTTGAGTCAATTCTCAACCATGGTCAATTACCAAGAATACTTTCACAAGCGTTGTTCAATATTGATAATCATCATATTAAGCATGGATAATACATAACGGAGTCACAAAAATCATAATATAAGACCCACGGGCATGCTTGACACCAATGTATAGATACTCGTCACCACACCTATACGTCGTACTAATCGCTTAATATATAACAAATAAGACCACAACTTTTATTCCCTCAAGCTAAGGTTAGACCAAACACTTACCTCAACGCCACGAACACAATCAATCCTGAACTACCGCTTTACCTCTCGATTCCACTTCCAATTCGCTTGTATCTAGTCACAATTTACTTAACGATATCAATAAATGGTACATAAATCAATTCTAATGCATGAAAGTAGGTTTTCTAGTGATTTTCCCAAAAAGTCAAAAATCGACCCCAGGCCCGCTTGGTCAAAATTCGAGGTTCGAACCAAAACCCGATCACCCACTCACCCACGAACGCAAATATGTAATTTGTTTTGAAATCGGACCTCAAATTGAGGTCCAAATCCCCAAAATTTAAAAATCCTAAATTCTACCCAAAATCACCTAATTTCCCATGAAAAACCCTTGATTTTGAAATGAAATCATGTGAAAAGATGGATTAAGAAATGAGTTATAAATGACTTACTAATTATTTGGAAGAGTGTGTGCCCTTGAAAATCTCCCAAAGATGTTTTAGGGTTTGAAAAGTTGTCAAGGATGTTTTAGGGTTTGAAAAGTTTAGAAGAGTTTGTGCCCTTGACCTCTGGGATTTCTGGGAGTTTTCGCATTTGCGAAGAAAAGCTTGCAAATGCGAGCTAAGTTGGCCAGGGCTTGTTTTGCATTTGCGATCACCCCTTCGCAATTCCCATGCCATCAGACATCGCATTTACGATCCCTGATCTCGTAATTGCGAGATCAGAGGCCAGAATACCAGAACTGAACCTGCAACAATTTTCCTAAGTCCAAATACACGCCGTGGCCTATCCAAAACTCACCCAAGCCCACGGGGGCTCCAAACCAAACATGCATGCAAGTCCAAAAATATCATACGGACTTGCTCGTGCGATCAAATCATCAAAATACTATCAACAACTATGAATGAAACCTCAAATTCATGAAATCACTCAAGAACATTGAAATTTCTATTTTCTCAACTATAGGTCCGTTTTATACCAAACGAACTCCGATTCTTACCAAATTCCACAAATTTAACCAAATTATTATTTTAAACTTGTACCGGGTTCCAAAACTAAGATACGGGCCCGATACCATCAAGAAATTGCATCAATTCACTTCTAAAAGCCTTTATATTTTTCAGCAAATAATTTTCTTTAAAAATTCTTTTCTCGGGCTTGGGACCTTGGAATTCGATTCCGGGCATACGCCCAAGGCCCATATTTTACCACGCACCCTACGAGATCGCCGAATCATGGGTCCGAGTCCATTTACCAAGAATATTGACCATAGTCAACTTTAATCCATTTTAAAGGTCAATTTCCTTATTTTACTTAGATATCACATAAAAGCTTTCTGAAAATGAGCCCGGACTGTGCATGCAAATCGAGATGAGACAAAAAACGTTTTTAAGGTCTCGAAACACAGAATTTACTTTCAAAATGAGTGATGACCCAAATATTCTCCACCTCTAAAATAACTGTTTGTCCTCGAACGGACATAAGAAAAGTACCTGAGTCGGGAAAAGATGGGGATATCATCTCCGCATATCGGACTCGGACTCCCAGGTTGCTGCCTCAACAGGTTGACCCCTCCACTGAACATGAACCGAAGGAAAACTCTTCGATCTCAACTAACGAACCTGCCAATCTAGAATAGCTATCGGCTCTTCCTCATAGGACAAGTCCTTGTCCAACTGGACAGTATTGAAGTCTAACACGTGGGATGGATCACCGTGATACTTTCGAAGCATGGACACATGAAACACTGGATGCACGACTGATAAACTCGGCGGCAATGCCAGTTTGTAAGCCACCTCTCCCATTCGATCAAGAATCTCAAAAGGACCAATGAATCTAGGGCTTAGTTTGCTCTTCTTTCCAAATCTCATCACACCCTTCATAGGCGACACCCGAAGCAACACCCGCTCGCCGACCATGAATGCCACATCACGAACCTTACGGTCAGCATAACTCTTTTGCCTGGACTGAGCTGTACGAAGCCTATCCTAAATGATCTTAACCTTGTCCAAGGCGTCCTGTACTAGATCCATACCTAACAACCGAGCGTCTCCCAGCTCAAACTATCCAACCGGCGACCGATACTGCCTACCATATAATGACTCATAGTGAGCCATCTGGATGCTCGACTGATAGCTATTATTGTAGGCAAACTTCGTCGATGGCAAGAACTGATCCCACGAGCCTCTAAAGTCAATAACACAAGCTCAGAGCATATCTTCCAAAATCTGAATAATACGCTCGGACTGCCCGTCCATCTGAGGATGAAATGATGTGCTTAACTTGACCCGTGTGCCCAACTCACGCTGAACTGCCCTATAGAAATTTGAGGTAAACTGCATACCTCGGTCAGAAATGATAGACACAGGCACACCATGAAGACGAACAATCTCCCAGATATAGATCTTTGCCAACCGCTTAGAAGAACAGGAAACTACCATAGGAATGAAATGCGCTGACTTGGTCAGCCTATCTACAATAACCCACACTACATCGAACTTCCTCTGAGTCTGTGGGAGTCCAACAACGAAGTCCATAGTGATATGCTCCCACTTCTACTCAGGAATCTCAATCCTCTGAAACAGACCACCAGGTCTCTGATGCTCGTACTTTACCTACTGATAATTCAAACACCGAGCCACATGTGCAACAATATCCTTCTTCATCCTCCTCCACCAGTAATGCTGCCACAAATCCTGATACATCTTAGCGGCACCCGGATGAATAGAGTACCGGGAACTATGGGCCTCCTCTAGAATCAACTCTCAAAGTCCATCCACATTAGGCATACAAACTCGACTCTGCATCCTCAAAACTCCATCATCTCCTACTGTAACCTGCTTGGAACCACCGTGCCGCACTATGTCCCTAAGGACACACAAATGAGGATCAGCATACTGCCAATCTCTGATACGCTCAAATAATGAAGAACGAGCGA